CACCATATGAGTGACACCTACAATTACTTATTATTACATTTTTTTACTTTTGTTTGGTCTACATTCATATAATGCACCATTGCACATAAAGCAGAAAAATGAGCTTTTTTGACAAATAATCTTTAGAGGAACGGGAATATCTGCTTCACAACTCCTCCAACGGACGCTATGGTACTCTCTCGTTTACATGTATTGAGGACATCGGACCACAAACAGCGCTCTTCTGGCACCAGATTTACGCAGGATGAAATAGTGGACCTGAATGAGGTAGTTCGCAAGAGTGAGTAGAGCAAATCATCCAACAAAGGTACTGGAGGACTGGCACATACCTAATACATTGTGGCACGTTTATTCTACTTGTCGATAGGTCCAATTCTTCGGAAGATGAACTCCTAAACAAACGGCTATTTTGGGTTCTGCAAGCAGAGCACCGATGGATGACGTGAATCTAAACAATTCCCTCGAAGCAGGCAACCGAAAGACCAAGCGGTTCGCCTGCAGCTCGGAAATGCTACAAAAAATAGCATAAAATGTCCAGCGCAGATCAACTCCATTCTGGGGTGCACCACGCCTACAGCAGCCAGCTGATGGGAAAGTGAGAGTATTTCATATTCTCAGTGAGTCTAATACAGAGTACTGGGCCTCCCAGTGATTAAAGACTTGGTTGGCTATGGCGAGATTCAGTCCGCCCTTCAGTCCCCAGGTGCTCAGCGCTTGGTTAGTGGCGTAACTTTTCACTAGGACAAGTGCCACCTCTATAGCTGTGGACCCGTTTACCTCGCACATGGCAAGGTACGCTTTCTTAGGGGAAAGCGTACGCTGTAGGGTTTATATCTAGGCAAACCGATAGGGCACTTTGAAGGGAGTGAGTATGACAGGTAACGGTGGAAAGTGAAAATGGTTGCGCCTTGATCTGCTTCCTCTGCCAGGCACCATCGATTCGCCGGGATATGGACTGTATCTCCGAATGGATGCGCGCCACGGACTATGATGGCGCTTTTAAAGGCAATTCCCGCGACCACACTTCATAGGTAATACAGTTCAAAAATAGAATTGCCCTGTGATTGTTGACTTATTGAAGAGAAGGAACCACGAAAAAGCGCCCGCAATAAGACCCTCTTTATTTCAATTGATCATGATCACCGGACGAGCGTAAGGTGGTCAAGATCGGTTGTGCCTGCTGTTTTTCAAAAGCAGCATATCCTCATACTCTACTGTTCCCTGTTCGATCATAATTCACGTTTATGAGGTTCTAGCCTTAGTTCATCGCGGAATGTGTCTTCAAGGCTACAAAAAAGCGATGTCGTCGTTAGTAGAGTATGATAAATCACCTTTCCGTAAGTCCCATCAGAACGAGATCATTTGGACAAGACTGCTTTCCGAGAAAACGAGGTGCGCTGTTAACTGCTGCAAAGATGCACATAAAAACTGCAAATGAAAGTTCCAGCGGCTCATTCTTGTTGCCTGCTGTCCACAGGAGGGAGTGCCCTAGGACTTTGGCTCGGGGTCTCTACGGACAGTTGCCAGATTAGACAGAGACGTAGAGAGCCCTGCGCGCACAATGCGCAGGCGTCACGATTACGTTAGTGAGCTTTTCGCAAGTCACTGCCTGAACCGGAAATTGTCCATGCGATTACGGTCTTATCCGCTGCGGACGCTCGGTCCTGCCAGGTGGCTGAGTTAGACGCCTTTCAATTTTCCAGCAATTGTGGTCGAATGTCAGCTTGGTGGAGAATAGGCTGGCGTCACGCCACATGTAGCCTCCTGGAAGGGCCCCAGAATCCGCAGCGAACAAGCCAGCAGATCGCACCCGTTGCCACGCTCATGACTAGACCCGTGGGCACTCTCACTCGAAAGCTGAGATGTCGGCTGTGCTTGTGCTCAGAGATTCATGATTTATTCAGTGAAAATCATTGAAGTAATACTTACTGGAAGAATGGAACCAGACGACAGTCCGTGCAAAGCTGCCACATGAACACTCCCAGGTTCCACATCATACTCAAATCGTTTTGGGTTTGGTAGATCAAAGACTCAGGTGCAACAAATCTGAACATTCTCGGAAAATACCACAGGACTACAAAATTCAGCGTTTGGAGAAGAAACACCGTAGAACACCACTGTGTCGGTTCAAGGTCTGTCGTTCTGTCGATGTGACTGTCTGCCCGCTCGCAAAGCGCACAGCAGGGGTGATAGAAGAAATTATGGGAGGAAAAAACTACTGGCAACAATACTTGGAAACCACCAGAGCTTTCTGCATGGTACAGCACTGGGATGGGAGGAGTGTTCGTGTCAGGCGACCCCGCCCACACTTCCTTCCCCTAAGATTTTTCCTCCAGTAGAACCCCTTACCCTCATCCTACCAACCATCTTCTTCTGAGTTTTCCCAGCTTCCTACCACATTTTCCAATCCCAAAAAAGAGTGGAAGTTATATAGCAAACAGGGAACATGAGAAACCGGAAAAGTCAACAACTGGAAAAATTGCTGTTAAAACCAGATATGACCTGCTTTCCCGACGGCCATGTTTCATCCTTCCCCTCCTCTCACCTGGTGGGGCCCTCCCAAAGATGCTGTACGATGACTTCTCCCATTTAGTCTACCCGTGCAACAACTGTGATAACGCTCCTTTCTCCATGCGTTGTGACACATAGCTGATCCGCACCACTTCGCTGAGGTACAGTCATCATCCGGGCCCTCGTTGCCGTATCGCCACCCGTTGCTTAGGCGGCAACGGGTGGCGACGCGGCTGCGGCGCGTCACGACCGCGGCGATCAGCTGTTTCCAGCCTAATTTAGCCATTTTCTCCCTAATTTTCACTGTATTTCATATTTTTTCAAGGTAAGTTGTTTTATCACTTTTATGAAGTACTCTAGGGCGTGGAGTCCTTCTTTGTTTCTGTAAAAGAGTGTTTCTGCTTTTTTCAGGTGTTTCTTCAATTACCTGCCTAACTGTGTAATTGTACGCAAAAAACAGAGGAATCTCAATCGTAATTTACCTTGTGAAGACAAGGAACAACTAACCTCGAGAAAAACACTAAAACTGTGTAAATTGGGGAGAGGCTAAAATAGGCCGGAAACAGCAGATCGCGGCGCGCCGCAGCAGCGTCGCGAGCCTTGGCCGCCTAATCAAGTGCCTGGATGACGAAAGTCACAAAGAAACAGCAAAGAATAGATCCGAAACTTGGTTGATTCTGTTCTACCCAACTTAATTCTTGCCAGTCGATGGATGTTGGGAAGGACATTACACCGAGGGGAAATCGACCACGGCCCTGTGACGTTCAAATTGATGGGAGCTTTTGTTATCCCTTTCAAAATATTTCATATAGATGCCCCTTGTAACGAGCGACCGTCCACTTATAGAGGCAAACAGGGAGCCTTATGAACAAACAAGAGCTTCTCACCTCCAGTAAAAAGAGTGCCTAAGAGTGTCGTCCCGCCAGCTTGGCCAAGAGCTTTTCCATGCTCCGCGGAACTTTATGTTAGATCCAGCATCCAAATAACAGTCCTACAATGCAAAAAAAAATGCCCGATCCGTCCTCAAATGCACATTTTGCTACTCCGTGGCTCACGTTCACTCACCTGAGCACAGAGAATTGAGTGGAAACAACCTTTGAGAGCCAAGTAATACGCCAGCGAAGCAGCCTAAGCAAATACTCCATTTGAACCGGATACGGTAAAAGATATGGTTGTCACCAACCTGGTAGATCCATTTGAGCGTCTTCGCTGGTTTAATGAACGACTCCTTCCTAACGACGTCATAGAGAGAAAGGGCACTGTGCATCTCATAGCGAAGGATCACGGGATCATTGAGAGTGAAGAAGGCAAAATCCAGTAATCGAACAAGGTTACTTGAATCTTAATGTTGGGGAAAACAAAACTTCAGCTAGGAAAAGAGCGAAGACGCACCTGTGTTTCAACAGTATAAGTGACTCCAAATCTTTGTCGATTCCACGATGTACGATTTCCCTTTTCAGTGCCACAAGAACGGATTTGGACTTCAATTCCGGCAAAGGAATCATTGTTTTCAGTGTGGTACGGGGTTTCTCTTCCACAAAGCTGTGGGCACCGAAACGTCCGAAAATCTGCGCTCAAAGTAGAAATAGAGTCAGCTGACTGTGGGTTAAGGTCACAGGGCTTTTGTCAACCGCTCTCTTGCTGTGAGGGTCCAGAGGCCTTTTCTGATCTCAACTTCCTTCCGAACATTAAGAAGGGAGGGAAATAAGGAAGAAGGAATAGAGAAGGAAGAAAGGAAAGAAGGAAGGAAAAAGGACTGGAAAATGAGTGAGGAGGAAGGCTTTGCGGTTGACAGATGTCCTGAGACGGTGGCTTAGCTAGTGAAACCTAGGGTTGGTGAAAGTCACAACTACGGACAGCTTACTTTCACGGCGATAAATAGCTGTTCCAAGCCGAATTGTCTCCTCTCCACAACTGATGAATTTGAGCTGGAATGTTAGCTCCCCAAGCGATTCAAAACGCGCTGCGCCCACTCTGAATCGAGCTCCATCTTCAGTCTAAATGAGCCGGATTCAAGCCACCACAATATACAGCTCATATCTCGGAGCTGAGGGGGAGTATCTATGGGCTTGGCTGTGAGCGCGGTGGATGTGGACATTTGCCGGTCCGAGCAGGGATGCCGACAGCATGTGCATAACTCTCTTTCATATTAGCAAAATTAGTGCATTATCTCCTCACGTTTAGAAGATCATATGCTCCACAATTACGCAGCCGGCACCACTTTCACACAATGGTCACTGGTCACTGCCCCCTCAAGGCCGGGTTATGGAGTGCATATAATCAGCTATACCCTTCCAACAAATTGTCCTAAAAAAAGAAATTAGTCTAAAAGCTGTTGAAAACTTACATGTTCAACAGTAATCAAGAAGTCGCGAATACCATCTTTGAGCACCGTCAAGAGTAGTGAGTCCGGAATCTCGCTATCCTGAATCAATTAGATTTCGGAATTGCGCGATACTCACTTTGCAAGGTCAATCTACACTCTCTCCCTGTCCGATAATTTTCGGAACAATTTACAATTAATGCCATAAAAAATTAACGCTAATTTACGATGTCTCGGAAAAATTACAGAATCCCGAGACATAGTTTTTTTTATATCGTCCTGATTTCTAAAAGTTAGCTCGATTGCTAGGTGAATTCTGAGGCTTTTGGGATGCCTCTCACCCCTTCGACTCTTCATTTTTTATGCTGTAGCAGTTGAGATTGTTTGATCGGTGGACTGCGCTATCGACCTGTTAGCCATAGGGGAGGTCACTGTAGCCCGTGGCACGCCACCTACACACTGGTCTAGGAAGGCTCTCTTTTTACGTGCGTTACTGTTACATACACTTGCGATACTGATGCCATCAGCTGATCTTGAGAAACATTGTGGAATGCGGAATTCGATCCACATCCTGTTCAGCTCGCATCACCCCAAACATGGTTTTACATCGTTGAATTCCTTTGACACCTACGACAGACTACCCGGCATATCCCGTGACAATGAGAACTGATGGCTTCATCAAGGCACATCACTGGTTGGGGATATTGCCCGAGATCGTGCGACCCGCCTCCCTCCCAACAACAAGCGATTACTACCCCTCCCCGCCCTTTAAGGCGTTCCATGAAACAAGAAAACCCATCTACTTCCACGCTCACTTCATGGCTCCAACCCGCTCACTGAACCTCCACCTGAGCCACTGTCTAGCTCACCTTCTGAAAGGATCTCAAACTTGACATCTTAAAACAATTGTCCCTATGGATATGTTGTGCGCCTGGTGATGGTGTATACCGCGTAGGCTAAGCAAGCAAAAAAAGTTTCACGGAAAATAATACTCAAGGTCAAGGTTCTCTAGGAACTACGTGAGAACCTAATTTGCTGTACGTAAAACACAGTAAACATCCATTCAACCTTCTGTTCCTGTGGAGGGGGCAGGGAAATGTGGTCAAGAAACGAGTTTCAACATGGAGAGCACTCTGGAAGAGCTCTTCTCTCATTAAGTCACCGCAGTAGAGAGATCGTCGATGAAGAGGGCGTGCCTAGGTAGGACACATGGTTGTTGGGGATTTCCCAGCAGTGCCAACAGTGGAGTCGTATTTGGTCGCTTGAAGAGGGGGTTGAGAAAATGAAAACAGGTTTTTGCAGAAAATTCATTTAAAATTTTTGCATAGTTGATTTTTCTTGATTTCGCGGACCGTTGTTAAAGTGGCCGGAGGGCTCTTGTTGTCATCCGTAAGTGAGGAGGGGTCGTATTTGTTCATCGTCTTGAGGACCCCACGCTCGACTTGATGAGAAGGGGGGGGTTGTACCAACACCCTAAAAAAGGGGCTCGTACGGACTCGATCAAAATCCCCTACTAATGATGTGCTGTGGCCTACGGACTTGCTTGTGAGTGCAGCGGCAGCAGTGAATCTGTGGAATGCCATGGACTTACTTTGGAGCACAGAAGGCACAGACGTATGGAGTGAGTGTGTAAAAGGGCCGCGAGAAAACATTGAGGCACCTCGCTTCGAGGTTGGCGGTTGCTCTGCAGTGGCATTCCACAAACATTCAGGCGCTGCTACGCTCAAAACTAAGTCCGCGGATGCGCCTTCTCTGACGCCGAAATAAAAAGGCAGCCGATCGGTTGAGGGGTAATAAAGACCATGGTTATCATAATTCTACATGATTTTACAGTTCGCTCCAAAGCGTTTATCGACGGGGGCATTCTGCTTTTCATAGATTTGCCAACCCATCTAGGTACCCTTTTTTCGAGTTGACAGATGGTGGCTAGACGATCTTGCTCCAGCTTCACAAGCGTTCACAAGTTTTACCAGAGTGAGATTTGTAAACCGGAACCAGGGAAGCAATTATAATACAAAATGCCCCCCCCCCCCGTCGATAAACAGCGCCGACCATGGCTATCATAATTCTACATGATTTTACAGTTCGCTCCAGAGCGGCTCGGCTAAGTTTGTTCCGATTTCGAGCTTCGCAAGGGTGCACAGGTCTTATCGATGCCATTATCAAATACAGCAGCGAAAAAAATTTTGTGGGACAAGGACAAAGGGATGAGTTCGCATCTTTTCTCAAGTATTTCAGGAGGACCCCGGGACCGAGGCGTTTTTAATTGGCACCCCTATGGACAATTCTCGTTTACTCTTGAAAATTACGATCCTCCTGGAAAAGCTGTGATCAAGAAAACACTAGTAGTAGCCGATTGAAGTCGTTGTCGGGACAGAATGGTAAAGAATGTTGCGACAAAGCACCCCGCCTTCACATTGAAAGTGAAATCATTTCTCAAATTTTCAAGATTCTGGGAGGTCAGTTGCGCTGTGGTGAATAGGTAAAAAGTAGATAGAGCGAACCCCCGGACGGCTCCGTGGAAAGGTCACCCAAAAGAACTCGCCCGTGCGCGTATGCGGCGCGGTTTTTGACGTCACCGCGGCGGCAGGGCGGAGCGAAAGGCGATGGCCCGCGCCTCCGCCACTGTGCTCCAATCAGCAGCCGCTTTTATGTGGAAGGAAAAAGAGGAAAATAGAGAGAGAAAGATGATTGAACAGATAGTGGATGCTTACAGGTGAGTTAGTGGTAGTGGTGAGAGAATACAGAAAAGTCGACTATCAGGGCGAATTACTTCAGCAAATGGCAAAACTGGCGAAATAGTCCCTTCGATTGTGAAAACGACGCAAACAGCTCTTACGCAAACGTTCAAGGTGAGGTTTGGCAAATTGCCAACAGTTGGATGTGACCTTATAACGGTATAACGGTTGAAGGGAACTGTTTGGCCTGTTTCGCCATTTACTGAAGTAATTCGCCCTGATAGTCGACTTTTCTGTATTCTCTCACCACTACCACTAACTCACCTATACGCATCCACTATTTGTTCAATCCTCTTTTCTCTCTTTTTCCTTCCACATAAAAGCGGCTGCTGATCGTAGCACAGTGGCGCAGGCCATCGCCCTTCGCTCCGCCTGCCGCCGCGCTGACGACAAAACCGCGCCGCATACGAGCCCGGGTGAGTTTTCCCCTCCTACGCTCCCAGATACCCTCGTTCAATGAGCCAAGTGTTGTCTCAAGACCACCAATCGTGGCATATGAAGAAGAGCATCCCATACCGTGACGGTCGACAGGATGGTGCGCAACTTCACTGCATCAGAAGTTCGAAGCAAGAATTTCCTCCACCAAAAACAATCACTTTACGAGGAGTCGCACACTTCCCTCCCATTTCGGATCGTGGTACCTTCTGAATTTGAACTGCCCTATACATTGAATTACGGGGCAGCCGATACAAAAGTC